CAGTGAATAAAAATATTTTTTTTACCAAAAAATGAATCTTCATAAAAATAATGCAGACTCGAAGATGAACAAGTTCGTAACTGGAGCGACAGATAGGAATGCAACGCCAGTGAGAGGCGAGTACTTCCTGTGCGGGCAGTACCAAACTCCGCTACCAAGCGCTGGCTACTATGCGACAAAATGCAACGCAAATCTGCCGGCACTCAGGTATGTGATTGTTCAACAGGTGGCTCTAGGTTACACGTATCTGCAAGTTTGCGAGCTCTTTGTCTACGCAGCTGAAAACAGCGGTTATCAGTTTTTTATTTTAATATTTTTATTTGGTTAAGCTGTTCTGACCTGCAAAGCTGCTCAGAAACTTGCCTCACTCATTTAGGCATTTAGGTTCAAGACGATTTGAATCTGGCTTGAAACACCGCAAAACATGCTACCTTACCGTATTCACTAATTTGCTAATTTCATTAAATTTTCATCGATTCAATTGCATGTAATTCAAAATTGACATTGAATTTAAGATGTTTTATAAAAGCTTTTTCCAAAATTTTCCACCCTGTACAATTCAGCCAGCAAATTCTGGTACAAACTGAGAAACTACAGGTTGCTGCATGCACCACTGGAAAGTTCGACGAACCGCAGCAGCATCAACTCCTGCATTCTCGACTGCGTGATGGTCGCATGCGACTTCATCAACTACAACGAAACGACGAACGCCTGTGAGATGTTGGTCCACCCGTTTGGCTATCCTGGTCTAGATGGCAACATCATGACCCCCGCTCTGGGCTGGAACTACTGGCAACTCCTCTATGCCTAGATCTTCTTCCAGCTATTTAAAGTTGGAACTTTCTCCAAACAAATTTCTTTCGTAACTCTCTTTACGGTAGCAACTTATTCTTACTTTTAATATTAGATAAACTTTTCGTTTGAACATTCGTCATCAAAACTGTTTCTATCTCTATCACTCCCTTACCATGCATCCTACTCTGTCATTTCTCCAGCATGTTTTTCGATTTCAAAAACTAAAACCATCAACAATTAATTCTATACCTTAAATAATAATGGTGTTGTTTAACTTTGCTCAAACTTTCCGTGTTAATGACTCCAGGCTGTCGTTTCTTCACACTGAGACACAAATTTGAAATCGTTGACATTGAAAACATGTAGCACTTTTATCAACGTTCATTTCTTTCACCTATATCTGCATAGCCTTTTTTAATTTTAAACAACTTAATTACTATAACTTTTCAAATTTTCGTTATTATAATTGTTAATATTTTTAGTAGTAGCAATAAGAGTTTAGTAGGAGTACTTGTGGTAGCAGCAGTAGTAGTAGCAGCAGCAACGGTATTAGTAGTAGTAGAAGTAAAAGCAGTAATACATACTTTTTATGTTTTGACTTTGGTATCGTCAACACTTTGAGTCCCGAGAAAAAATTGATACTCGATACCGTTACAATATATTTGAGCGTCAAATAGGCATATTATTACTAACCATCCTTTCAATTTTCAATGTTTAGCGCGTTTCCTAACTGATACATTTGGGATTGTAAATTAAGTTCTGCCGATTCTGTTTTGTGTCAGCCGATCTTAACAATTCATCGTTATGAGGTGATTTTCATGTTCCTGTGTTACCTTCCGGATGCATTGGTAAGAATGAAATTTTATTACTAGTAACTACATTGTCGGCAACACGTTTTAAAGTTGGTGTTGGTATCGTTACTGGCGGTACAATATTTGAGTGTGGTTAACATCTTTGGTGGAAGTAGTATTGTAATATATTTTTCTGAAGAAACAAAACCGAGAACACAACAGTGTGCAAATAAACATGTTTTCTAACAACAACAACTAAACTAATTTTCACAAGTTCAAAAAAATTTTGAAAATTTAAATAAAGTTTTGTGCTCTTCGTTAACTGATGAGTATTTCCTGATTATGTCAAATAGTAATAACAATATTAATAATAATAATAATAGCAATAATAACACATCATTAATCAATCAATCAGCCAAACAAGCATTTACTAAATCGTCTAACTATAACATCATCCAATCAACAAACATTCAATCATTTAACCAATCAATGTTTAATCAATCCTTCAACCAGTCAACCAAAAACAATCAATAAATCAACATTTAATTTTTCAACCAATCAACATTTGATCAATCCTTCAACCAATCAACCAATCGGCCTTGATTCGGCTCCCTCGCGAGGCGGGGTTATTCTGATTTCCGGGCCAACCAAATTCAAAACCGATTCCGAAATATCGAATTTTATCAAATCTATCACGCCTTTCCTGAAGAAATCAAATATTTATCTATTTCCGCGAGCATTAAGAGAGAATTTCAATTTAGAGTATAAAAATTAATAACATGTATTGATTCGCTTGTTGATTTATACAAAGCAAACTGATCAAAGCTTAGAGGGCAGTGATATTTCTTAACAAATTAAACGATATATGAAATGTACGCGTAGAATGTATATGAGCATACAAACGTGTGTACATA